GCAATTCGATATCAGAACCACTAATGAATATAAACATTGTGTTTCAAAGTACATGAAGATAGATCATTGTTGCAAAAAGGAGCGGCGGGCTGGGTTCCCGCAGGGCTCCCCACTCCCCAGGTAGTTTACACCCAAAATAATTACACAGAAACTGTATTCATTTAAACACTGCTTGGCCCATTACCTCCAGCCTCTTATTGGCTAACTCTCACATCTTGATTCAGCCCATATCTAATAATCTGTATCTCACCACGTGCTCGTGGCTTACCAGGAAAGATTCAGCATGTGTGACCCTGCAGCTTCATGGCGGTGGCTCTCTGACTCTGCTTCTTTCTCCCAGCATTCTGTTCTGTCTACTCCACCCACCTAAGGACTGGCCTATCAAAAAGGCCAAGGCAGTCTCTTTATTAACCAATGAAAGTAACAAATAGACAGATGACCCTCCTCCATCAGATCATGAACATAATGAAGAAGATACAACTGTCAGTCTGTCCCATCATTGCTTAACAATTGAGGAACAATCAAGATATTCAAGTTGAGTGTCTTCCAGAACATTTTTCTCTCAGTTGACACTATCATATGGTGAAGATCAGTAGTTGTTTCTTTCTGGGGTTATAATATGCAGTGTTATTTTTATTAACACATTAATTCACTTTGGTATGAAATATATTGTTACTTTTAAAAGAACAAAAACAGGTGATAATAGATATAACTTTTGTGAATATATGATAAAATCAGGAAGGAGATATGAACAACTCTAATATCTCTATTCCCTGTGCTCAGATAAAGAGTCATAATCAATAGTATATGAATAAGTACACAAAAACTTGAAAGAAAGTCCTTCTTTGTACCCTTAAGAGAATAATGATTCTGACAAAAAGGAATTGTGAGTTAAAAGGGACATTTTCAAAATACAATTTTGCATCTGAGGGAGATTAAGGAGAAAAACATTCTAAGACCTTGCTGAGCAATGGAAGATGCTCAGTTTTAGGGGCCCTTTGTTCCACCACACTTCACATGGAGATCATCACACAGAATGAGAGGATATTTGTAACTGTTAACCTCATTCACTCTCAAAGTCGTGGTCACTGGATAGTGATCTGCTTCCTCAGGTTTTGACAGAGTCTCTTATTGTACAATTGAAGATTCTTATTTCAGTCTCATTAGTCCTAGAGTCCTGACCTGTTCCTTAGACTTTCACAGAGAACTCTGCTTGCTCATTCTTATAGTTTCCTAACACCAGAATGCCAGTACCTGATTTTAAAGTTGTCTTATGTTTCTATTGAAACTATATGATTTCCTGATAAGATAGTCTAACAAAGCCCTATTAGAAGTTTTTTAGCCAATGGCTTCATAAAGGACACAAAATGTAAAGTAATAGAAGGAAGAAATAGATTTATCTCCAAAATTTATCTACTTACTTTTAAATACCCTATGAGTAAAGTTGTAACGAAGGTATAAAACTCTGACTTGGCTTTCAGCTCCAGGTTTGTCTATCAGGGGTGAACCAGACTTCCCCACACTGCTTAGGTCATGGCCCTATGTGCATCTATCTGCTAGAAATAGAAAAGCATGAGCTTAAATTATCTTTTCTTCAGAGATATAGCATGCTGTGAGAAAACTTCAGATTCCATGACAATAGTGAGGTGCACTGTCTTTAGGTTCCAGGATGTTGACATTTTGGTGCGGGAGAAGAACTGTCTGTATTCTGTCAATCCTGATTTTAAATAAATGCTTATTGGCCAGGCAGGAAGTATAGGTGGGTCAACAAGACAGGAAGTAGAGGAGGGGCAATGAGAACAGGAGGATTCTTGGAAGGAGGAAGCCCATTCCTCCCATTCCTGCCCAGACCACCAAGAAGCAAGATGTAATCTGCCTGGCTCAGAAAGGTACTGAGCCATGTGGCTAACATAAGAAAGAACAATGGGTTAATATAAGCTACAAGAGCTAATAAGTAGACTGCGCTAATAGGTCAGTCAGTTTTATAACTTATGGATATCTCTGTGTGATTTTCTTTGGGGCTTGCTAGGTGGGACAGATACCCCAACAAGCCAACCCTCATGTTACAACAGTGAATGTGAAATCTGTCACTTTCTATAATGCTGACCATGAGAGGATTCAAGATAAAGATTGTACAGAACATCTTATGTGGAAATTTGGTGCCTGATTTAGCTATACTGATTCCAGTGTCAGCTTGTGCCTTAATTGGCCTGAAGATGATAGCAACACTATCCCCTATATCCATAAGAAGAGGAGACTAGGTCTACACAACTGCACTGCTTTGGGCTAAAGCCAAATATGAAACACAATCAAAATATGACTGTGTTAGAGGCTTCGTTTTCATTTCAATATCTAGACATATTGATATTCCTTTTTATGAGAAATTCAAAATCAATACCATAATGATTACTTCACAATAATCACTGATCTTATAATAGAAAATGACAAACAATGTAGCTGTGGAGAAATCATAAATCTTTGCATTATAATTGGAGAAGGACCATAGAAAGCATGGGACCTAATAAAGAGCCCAGAGATATGCCTGCCACCTAACTGACCAATTCCACAGATAGGCATGAATTCAGGAAAACCAAAATTTGAAAGAAGAAGTTTGCACATTAGTGTTAGCATCAACATTATTCAGAATAGGCAAAGAGGGAAAATGCCCTTTATGTGAATCCAAAGATAAATAGAAAAAGAAATCTGAGAATAAGTCACACGATGAATTATAGAAATATCAGTATAAGGTTATACCGTGCATAATAGTAGGAATAATTTCTGTCTAATGCCTAATGAAATTTTTGTCATTGTGTAAATACCACAGAGGAAGCATTTATAACCCTAGATTATGCAACTGTCTACCTAACCAGTCTTTTCTTTAAATGTGATTGTTCCTAGTCAAGATACCTGTAGACAAAATGAAGATGTTGGCTACTGGCCTCAGTAATAACACAATGGTATGTAATTATAGATTTAAGCAGGTCTAAACAATCAGTTGTTTACAGTATAAAAGGTAAAATATAGACACTTATAGAGTTTATGCATTGTAAATAAGAGATTGCATGCTAAAACTTGCCCTGAGGAAATCAGAGTGACAAAAGACTGAAAGTAAAGGTTACTGCCACCAAAGGCATGTTCCTGAGTTCACAGATACAACAGTAAATAGCTTACAGCTCTGGGATTCTCCACTAGTAACATACATCAGCTTATATCTAGATCATTACTCATCACTGACTCACCTGCTACAGCAACCCAGTGTGAGTCACAGGCTCAGTGTGTGAATAAATAACTCCCCCGTGTGCATTTCATGTTCTCTTTACTACCTTAAACCATCTTCAAACTCTTCATTTTTTATGAGACTAATCATATTACATATTTCTTGTATTCATTCCAGTTGCATTCAATAAGACAAGTTTCTATACTGTACAAATTTGACATCCTTATCTTTCCCTTATTCAACTTCAGCTTCAGAATTCATGTAGGACATTTTATTTCAGCATGCTGTGATGATACTGTCCTGAACTTTTTGACATAAGGTTTTTGCTTTTGATTAAGTTTACTGAAGTTTATTCAGCAATGTGAAAAAACAAGAATAGACTGAATTTTCTCTTTTTGATACAGTGAGGACAGGAGAGTTCACTGTTGTGACCCCTCTATTCTAGAGAAGGAAGTAAATAAGAGAATGTGGAAGAGAGAAGAGTAGACTAGAGAGAAAGTTAAAAATTTTTCTTGGTTTATTTTTAAGAAAAACTATACAAAAAGGGAAATTTTAGAAGCAATACTATTTGTGAAATAGATAATGTTTCTAACATATGATAGTGACATTATATTGGAGATTATGACATTACTTTGGGGAAAACTGGCTTACCCTTTGGCAGCAGGTATCAATGCAAATAGCTTCTTGGTTAGGGATGGGACACTGTGTCTACCTCCCCTTCTCCCTGCTCAGATTTTGTGTAGTTTTGTGTGAGATATCACAATCTTTGTGAAGTCATGTGTGTATCAGCTCCTTTGTGTCTGGGTAACAATATTTCTTTGGAGTCATTCATCCACCACCTGTGGCTCTTACAATATTTCTGCCTTAAGAGGGAAGTTTTATCAGCAGGTTTTTCCTACTGCATGGATACAAAATACTGATAAGTCTCCTCAACATCTAAGAATACAATAATATGACAATAATAATAAAATTTAAGGTAATATATGAGTTTAGCAGCTGGCAAGAAAGCTTAGGGAGTGAAGTCATCGATCCCCAAGTCTGATAGAGACCCCTGGAATTTATGTAATTCCTAGGAGTTTTATAAAACTTTGAAAAATCTTCATCCCCTAATTTAGAGTTGGTCAGCTTGAACACAGATAAGGAGGGTATAGGTCCACAACTTTAGGGAAAACACATCTTGATCCAATCTTGAACTTGAAGGAGAGTCAGGGGTCCTGCTGGCAGAAGAAGAAGCCTACCAGGCCTTTGCTACAAATCTGTTCAGACATTTGCAAAAGGGACCAGATTATACCATCTTTATATTCAGAAAGTTTGTCAGCATTATTGCCTATTTTTTGTCCATCTTTCTATCTTCTTTCTGCTTATCAGGGATCTGCATAAGTCTTAGTCACTCACATACATACATAAGAAGATTGTATGTGCCAATAAAAATCTTTTAGGAGACTTTGTTGGGAACTCTTGGACCTTTTCTTTCTGCCTTTCTTTCTTTCTTCCTTCCTTCTTCTTCTTTTCCTTTTTTTCTCCTCCTCCTTCTTTTTTATTTAAATCTCCCTTGAATTTTATTTGCTGCCTGAGTCCAAATAGATGCCATGATCCAGATGCATCATAAGTAATGAACTGTATTTTTAGTAAATCAAAAGTAAACCCATGCTGAAGAGGAACCATCACAGCCACTTATTCCAAATCCACTCAGTGCACTTCAAAACCAACTTTATCAGAATAATGGTTTCAATAGGTAGAGTCACCAGGAGGAGCAGCTAAGCCAGCCCACACTTGCACTTCTGCTTTGCGCAATGGTTTATGTTATAACTTGTTCTGCAGTGGGTGGGTAATCATAGAACTGTTGACAATAATAAGTTCCATTATCTTCTGGCTCCACACTGCTGATGGTGAGGGTAAAAACTCTCCCAAACCCACTGCCACGAAACCTCAATGGGACCCCATCTTCCATACGAGTTGCACCATAGATCAGGAGCTTAGGAGATTTCCCTGATGTTTGCTGATACCAGTTTAATACGTTATCAATGCTCTGACTGGCTTGACACCTGATGGTGACTGTGTCTCCTAGTGATACAATCTGAGATAGAGACTGGGTCATCTGGATGTCACATCTGGAACCTGGATTAAGAGGGGGAATACACAACAGAAACTATGTAATGCTGTCTTCAAAAGTCAATGCATAGAGTTCCCTGACAGCTAAGCATTGCTGACCATACTGACATAAGCACTGCTGCCCTCCCTACCTGGGATCCAGAGCAGCAGCAGCCCCAGGAGATGAGCAGGAGCCCTCATGTCTGCACTGTGCCTTGACTGGGACTGACTGCTACACTATTAATAGTTCCTCAGAACGGTGGTTTATTTTCCTGTTACATGCAAATCAGCAGTGTCTAGAAGATGTGTGCACAGCTACAGAACTGTCTGAACTCAGGAACTGAACTGTACCAGCCTCAAGACCCAATGATTTGGGCCTGATCAGGGCAATGTGTTATTTTTCTGCAGAAATGTGTTTCTCTCTAGGACAGACTGACTCTGATTTACTAAGAGTAGATTATCTTTTGTTTCTAAATGACCAGTAGCATGTATTTCTTGCTAGTCTTATATGTTTGTCCATCTTTCACAAAGGCAATTCCAGAAACTAGAAGATGTTTTAGAAGTCACCTTCATTTGAACATGTAGTTATTTGTGGCTAGAAATTGTTCTTTGTCCTGTGTTCCAAAATTTTGTGCTGTGGTTACTGTACTATGGTGGGAAAATGTACAACAATAGATATACAGAAAAATTTAGTTGTTGGTAAGATTTTTAAAAATCTTTAAATGTTGAAAAACAGATAAAATTATGTAAATAAATAATATATGTAACACTGTACTATATACAATCTTCCCAGTAGAGACCAATCATAAGAGCGTAGGCCACTGTCAATGAACTGTCTTCTAATAACTTGTGTCTGTCCTCCTTTGTTTGAAGTTCTTTCTCCTTTCTGATAAGAGAAACAGCTCCAGGTGTTTCTGTCTTTATGCCTGAAAATGTATAAGATACCTTTCTGGCTCAGTGGTCATTATGAATGTGCTGTCCAAATCACTCATGAGCTCTTGTGGAACTGTTCACAAATCTTCCTTTTAACCACAGCACCTTATTCTCAGAAGCTGATGTGCTCTCAGCAAGCGTTCAGCTACGCAAAGATATATGCTATTCAACAAAGCTACACATCTCTTTGTTGTCCGCATCTTTTATTTCCCAATAAGTACCAGTTATTAATGCCTGATTAAAGTGTCTGACACACACACACGCACACACACACAAACACACACACACACACACACCACAACCATTCACAAAGGTAAAAACACAATGATATAAAGCAGAGGGAGTCCTGAATTAGTGAAGTCCTGAGAGACCGCATATTGGTATGGGCATGTACACATTGAGGACTCCAAGGTTTTGGTCTAATAAAACATGGGCAAAGTCAGTTTCTGATATGGGCCAGGCTCAAGATGGCTGCCAAAGATCACCTTGAGAGACCAAGTATGAATGTTTATGAGTATATCCTCCTCCTGGATATTTATACTCTGATGCTGCTGGTTGGCAGAGACCTCCTATGAACACCAACTCCTCATTCTGTACTGTACCTAATAAAGATGCTGAGGTTCTCTATTGGGGAGGTTAGCAGAATCCTACCTCATTCCAGCTGTACTGTACATTTATCTGTGTTTCTATCCATTATTCATTCCTTTGCTGACCAAAGTCAGGATTCTAGGACCCAAGTTGTGCTGGACAAGCAGATGAAGACAGGGTATTGGAACAAAGACTATATGTAAGACAGTTTCTGATTGGAATGGAGAGTATGTGTGAGATGGAGAGGAAAAACAGATAATGGGATGTGAAGCAGCAATGGACTAAATAGATGTCGTTACATGGCAGTAGAGCATATGGGAAAGCCCTCCATCTGTAATAGAGGATTGAATCTTGGAGAAAGAAGAATAGGGCATTCAAAACACTGAACAGCCTTCTTCACCATACAAGAACAAAAATATTAATGCCAATCAAAAGGTCAACTTTGTTTTTGAGATGAGAAACATCCAAATAAACCATGGTAGGAAGTCGTGGGACATATTAACAACGGACAGTGGACAGAATCAATTACTGCTTTGAGGACCTCCCAAATCCCATACCACTACTGCCATTTTCTTAATATCATACAATCTACTGGTATGACATCAATGATTGCTGATGGATTTATCTACTATTATCAACTTTTTTATAAAAATAAAATCATGCTTGCAGTATAAAGAAATGTGTGTGCATTTTGGAACTAACCCCAGTTAGTCATGGATTAATATCCTGGAAAAGAAATATAAACATGGTGAGCCTCTGTATTTAAATCTAAAGATTTGGATTCTGTAATAACAATACCGTGCTAAAAATTCTATTTGTATATCCTCAAAAGATAATGTTTTTCATTTTCCTCTCTGAACAAAATGTGCAGTTTTGAAGCTAACAAGAAACCATGGTTCAGACATGGTGCCCTGAGAATCACTAGTCCATAAGAGCATTTGATACCAAGGCCATTTACTGACAGAAAGAAGAGTGATTGAAACTAGAAATCAAAACTTAGAACACTACAAGTAAACAAATTTTAAAATGCTGACCTCGAGTGTTTGGTGTATCATATGTACAGCATAGAATAAGAAAGCTGGGCAGCTGGGCTTTCACTCTGCCTTGTGTGTTAGTGATAAACCAAGTTCTATCTCTTAAGTAAACATGTCTAATTTGGTGTCTTTTCATTTCTGTGTTTTAAATTTATTCATAATACCTCTGTTAAAAAACAAATTTTAAAAAATATTTTAAAAACATATTTTCTATTAATGAAGTACTGTATATCTCATAAAGAAGAATGTAGCACTCGACCTGTAGCACCTGCCCTGCCCCCACATCTGCCCTTGTGTCTGAGGTGTCCTTGGAATACTAGGTATCCCTATTTCAGTGCTAAGGAGTTTCATCCAAACGGGTGAGTGTGTGCTATCCCAGGGCATACTGTCCCAGAAAAGAGCACATCCTCCCTATCCCAACTCCTGCTGCCGGGCTTCTGTGTTCCACTTGACCCTGCCCTGTTTCCATGTCTGCTCTTGTGTCTGAGGTATCCTTGGAATACCAGGTATCCCTATTTCAGTGCTGAGGAATTTTGTCCAGATGGGTGAGTGTGTGTTATCCCAGGGCAGACTGTACCAGAAGAGAGCACGTCCCCCCATCCCAACTCCTGCTGCAGGGACTTCTTTGTTACAAGCGACCCTGCCTTCCCCAAGCCTGCCCAATTGTCTGCAAGGTCTTTGGCCCAGGAACATTTCCTGCTCCTGCACTAAGGCTATCCACCCAAAGGGGTGAGTGTCTGCAGGTCAGGCAGGCTGGAAGGTCTCCACAAGTGAGTGCAGGGCACCTTCAGCTTCTGCTGCAGGGTCTTCTGTGTTCCACTCGACACTGCCTTGCCCCCACATTCGCCCTTTTGTCTGTGGTGTCCTTGGACTACCAGGAGACCCTGTGTCTGTGCTGAGGAGTTCCATCCAGACAGGAACAGTTCCTGCTCCTGCACCGAGGAGATCCACCCAGAGAGTCAGTCACAGCACACTAAACCAAGACACCAAAACTCTCCTGACTCCATTTGAAGGAAGAGATGGGCAGGCGCCAATGCAAGAATTCCTCCAACAACCTGAAAGGCAACATGACATCACCAGAATCCAGGGATCATGAAACAAGAAGAATTGAACACCCTACTCCAGAAGAAATAGAAGAAATCGACTTTAAACAGAACATTATGAAAATATTAGAGGACCTTAAACAGGAGGTAAAAAACTGCCATAAAGAAATAGAGATGACAAACAAAAAGGTAGAGGAAATGGATAAATCTCTCAAAGACACCCAAGAAAAGCAAGAAAAAGCAATCAAACAGGTAAGGGAAACAGTTCAAGACTTGAAAAATGAAATGGAGGTAATGAAGAAAACACAAACCGAGGGAAGGCTGGATATGGAAAATCTGGGTAAATGAACAGGAACTACAGAAACAAGTATTGCCAACAGAATACAAGAGATAGAAGAAAGAATCTCAGACACTGAAGAAATAAACTCACTAATTAAAGAACAAAACAAATCTAACAAATTCTTAACACAACACATCCAGGAAATCTGGGACACCGGGAAAAGACCAAACCTAAGAATAATAGGGGTAGAAGAAGGAGAAGAGTTACAACTCAAAGGCCCAGAAAATATATTCAATAAAATTATAGAAGAAAACTTTCCCAACCTAAAGAAGGATATTCCTATGAAGGTACAAGAAGCATACAGAACACCAAGTAGACTGAATCAAAAAAAAAAAGCATCCCCTCGCCATATAATAATCAAAACACAAAACATACAGAATAAATAATAACTATTAAGAGCTGTAAGGGAAAAAGGTCAAGTAACATATAAAGGGAAACCTATAAGAATTGCACCTGACTTCTCAATGGAAACCATGAAAACCAGAAGGTCTTGAATAGATGTACTGCAGACACTAAGAGACCATGGATGCAAGCCCAGACTATTATATCCAGCAAAGCTTGCATTCACCATCGAAGGAAAGAACAAGATATTCCAGGGCAAAAACAGATTTAAACAATATGTTGTGGTAAAAAAAAAAATGATATCTTGAATTTTTCATGCAAATGAATGGAAATAGAAAAAGCTTTACTGAGTGAGGTAACCCAGACCCAAAAAGAGGAGTATGGTATGTACTCACTCATAAGTGGATTCTAGCCATAATTAAAGGACATTGAGCCTATAATCCGTGATCCTAGAGAACCTAAATAAGAAGGTGAACCTAAAGAAAAACATATAGTTATCCTCCTGGATATTGGAAGTTGACAAAATTGCTGGGCAGGGGTTGGGAGCACGGGGATGGGGGTAAGGTGGGGATAAGGGGAGATGGGAGGAGAGAAGGGGAGGATGCGGAGAGCTTGAGGGAATGAGATGGTTGAGATGAAGGAGGGGTGGATGTGGCAGCAGGGAAGTATATATCTTAATTAAGGGAGCCATTTTAGGGTTGGCAAGAGACTTGACTCTAGAGGGGCTTCCAGGTGTCCAAGGAGATGTCCCCAGCTAGGTCCTTGGACAGCAGGGAAGAGGGAGCCTGAACTGGACTTGTCCTATAGCCACACTGATGAATATCTTGCATATTACCATAGAACCTTCATCTGGTGATGGATGGAGATAGAGACAGAGACTCACATTGGAGCACTGGACTGAGCTCCCAAGGTCCAGTTGAAGAGCAGAAAGAGGGAGAAGATAAGCAAGGAAGTCTGGACTGCGAGGGATTGGTTCA